GCCTTTGACACAGGAAAACCTGTAATATGTATACTGGTGACATAGAAGGCAAAAATACATGCTCTAGGAATTCAAAGGCTGGGCTTACTTCTGGGGGAGATGACTATTCAACAGGCCTTGGAGAAGCAGAATTTCAACAGGTAGATGTGGAAATTTTCCTTGGACTGGGTCTAAATGCTTTCTGGTTTTTGAGTGCCTGGCTTAAACAATATGCACATGCAGTAGGCTCTAGCAAACTTTGTAGTTGAACACCAGCCACTTGAAGCTAGGCTAGGAATCATGAGCTTGTGTCTTGGTTCTGATGCCACCACTGGACATAAATTATATAAGTGCTATACCTTCTCTGAGACTCTGATTTTTTCTAACTATTGAAATATGGATAGGGAGGGGGTGGGGGTCTAATCTTGATCATGGGTCTTTGGTTAGGATTACATTACATTAATACATGCAAAATTGTTTTGCAAGCCAAAATGAAATATAAGTACAAGAGACTATTTCTCATTATTCTTAGTCTTGTCACCAAACCCCAAAGTAACCAATTCCATGTGCTTCTCGTTTATCCAATAACCTTTTTTTTTGAGTAACTACTCGGGGCCAGACACTAGGGATACACAAATGAATTGCACTCAGTCTCTGTACTTGAAGTCGGAAAGGTCTAGGAAAGGAGACAGTGGGTACAAGTGGTAGCGTAAGTTTAATGTGTCATGACAAGAGCTGGGCTGGAGTTGGCAGGAGCGCTGCTTTTTCTCAGTGGCAGTGCACGTAGATAGTAATGCCAAATTCAAGAACTTCAAAATCAGAAATTGACTGGCATGCTCCATCATCACATAGAATTCAAGAAAAGGGTGAATTTTGTTTAAAACGTTTGAGCTTATACTATATTCCAGGCACTTTCATACCCATCATCTTCACAGCAAGTTAGGTAGTATCATGCCCATTGTATAGATGAGGACGCTAGATTGAGGAAGACTGGGTCACTTCCCAAGGTTTATAAAGCTAGAAAAGCAGAAGATCAAATTTTAACCCAGGCAATCTGCAAGCTCGCTGCTTTCCCAGTTCCCCTTATTGCTTTTATTGCTTTCTCATCAGTCAATGTTGTAATAGAACCCCGTTCCATCATTTCATGTTAATCTTTTTTTTTTTTGAGTTGATGTCTCACTCCATCACCCAGGCTGGAGTGCAGTGACATGCAGGCTCACAGTCACCCCAGCATCGACCTTCTGGGTTCTGGAGATCCTTCCTTCTCAGCCTTCCAAGTAGCTGGAATTACAGGTGCGTGCTACCATACCCGGCTAATTATTTTCATTTATTGTAGAGAGGAGGTCTCACCAAATTACCCGGGCTGGTCTCAAGCCTGTGGGCTCAGGTAGTCCACTCGCCTCAGCCTCCCAAAGTGCTGAGATTACAGGCTGAGCCATTGAGCCTGGCCTCCTTGCTAATCTTAACCTTCTTCTTACCTAGATTGCTTTTCCTAGAAGAAAGACTAATCTTTGATGTGACAGATTTTTTTTTTTTTTGAGTTAGTGTCTCACTCTGTTGCCCAGGCTGGAGTGCAGTGGCACAATCAAGGTTCACTGCAGCCTCGACCTCCTGGGCTCAGGTGATCCTTCTGCTCAGTCTTCTGAATAGCTGGGACTACAGGTGCACACCACCATGCCCAGCTAATTTTTTTTCTTTTGTAGAGATGAGGTCTCGTTATGTTGCCTAGACTGGTCTTGAACTCCGGGGTTCAAGCAATACTCATGCCTCAACCACCTAAAGTGCTGGGATTACAGGTGTGAGCCACCACACCCAGACTCAAGGGGAGAGATCTGACAGTAAATCCTGTTGCCATTTCATCTTCTTCTTTGATAAAGTTCTTTCTTCCTACAACTCTCTCCTGGCTTCTTCCTCTCCTCTAATTCCAGTGAAACTGTCAAGGAGTAAAAAATCCCAACAAACGAAGAGCCTGCAGAGACAGCTCCCTGCCTCCTCAGCCACCAGCCTGTAAATCCTGGGACTTTTACACTTAAAGTTAAAAGTTTTACACTGAAAGAAGAAAGACATTTGCATACAATTCTGTTCAAGAAGGAGTCCACATAGATCAAAATCTGAATATGCCTTAATTTTGTGGAGATATAAGGAATCTCAAAATATGATTGTCAGACTTGCTTATTTTACATATGGGAAAAACTGAGATCCAAGAAGGTGAAAAGAGTCCCCCAAAGTCACAAAGTAATGAGAGGCAGAGTCTCAACTGAAACCTGAGCCTCCTGACTCCCATGCTAATGCTTTTTTCCACTCAAATAAGTTACCTCTTTATAGCTTTTCCCATGAACAACTCAATTTACATAAGATCACAGCCCTTTCAAGAAGAAAGCTCAGTGCTGGTGTCTCTGCAGAGTCCAGAAGCCAGAGCCCCCTCCTTGGCCTCCTCTCTGATCAGGTCATGTCCTCATCAAAAGAACAGGAAGTGGCTTCATTTTTAGCTTCGAAAGCACATTGTAGGGATGGGAAAGGGGGATCTGGGGAAGAGAGTTCCTGTACATTATGGTCAAGGGCGATCAGCAGACTCTTTATAAGGGGAAGATATAAAGTCAGACAATTAAGGGGAAGGTTGTCCTTGAGTCCAAACCAGAACATGATCTCATCGAGAGCTTCCCCAAGCTCAGGGTGGTGGGGTGAGGGTGGGAGGGTGAGGGGAGGTGGTAGGGATTCTGTTCTGCTGATTCTCTTCTGTTTTGACCAGGCTGGATGCTAGAATAGGGGTTGAGGAGGAACACCAGGGTGGGAAAATTTGCAGGAACTTTGCACAACCTCCAATGTGTCCCCCACCCTCTGCTAGCACCCATAACTTCCCCTGCCAAGGGAGGAAAGAAGAACATATTGTTTAGTCTAATAATTTATACATTGAAATCTTTACTGTGTGACACAAAAGGGTCTTTTTACAGACAACAGAGAAATAAAAACTCCTGAGTCCTCTCTTAAAGATGGAGGTGTGGAGACGATGTTTCTTGATTACCTGGTCCTGGAATATACCAACCTGACTGTCTAACACATGGATGTGGAACAAACGATTAACTCTTCCCTTCCATGGTCAGCCAAGTTTTGTCTCCTTCTACTGGTGGAATCACATCCAACCTTAGCACTAATAGATATCAAAGAACACAGACCCAGATCCATGGAATGTTAGGCCTGGAAGAGACTGTAGGCATTTGTCTATATTAGTGGTTCTCAAACCTGGCAGACCATCAAAGTCATCTGAGGAGTTCATTACAAATTTAGATTCCCAGGAACCAACCCAGGAGTGATTAGGTAGATCTGGGCTGGTGTCCATGAATTTTCATTTTCAATAAGCAAGTCCCATGATCTGGTTCAACCTCGTCCATCCAGCTATCAAAACTCTTCCATTAGGTTCTTGTTTTACAGCAAAGAACACCGAAGTGCCAAAAGATGGGGCAGCACTTGGCTGCTGGTATGGTATGGTATCTTTGCCAATGCCATTATACCTGGCTTTCTCCCCCAGCTCACCTGTCCATTGAGGGCCTGTGAGGATCATCCAGCCCACAGAGGAATCAGTTGCCAGAAGCTTTGATTGAGTCACCATTTGGATCACTCATGGAAATGGCTGCTAAGGGGTAGCTCACCCCAACTCTGTTGTTGTGTCCTGTATTCTAGTGAGTTAAAAGAAGAAGGCCCTCCTGATGGCCCGTAAGGTGTACCACCTGGTTGTTTCAGACAGAAACAACAGTCAGTCATTCATGAAAGCAGCCTGCTGTATGATAGGAGCCAGAGTGGTGGAGGCTGAGTGAGTGAAGGGGAAGGTAGCAGAAGGGGAAGTCTGGGAGTTAATGGGAGGCAAGACCATTCGGGGCTCTCTAGGTCAATGTGAAGATCTTTGGTTTTTACCCTGAGCCACAGCAGGATTTTGAGCAGAGGAGTGTCATACTCTGACATATTTTCACAGGGTACTCCGGTGTGGTGGTGAGAATAGCCTACCGAGGGCAAGAGTTGAAGCCAGGAATCCAGTGAGGAGGATTTGCAGTGATCAGGGGACACAGGATGGCGGCTCAGACCAAGATGGTAGGAATGCAGGTGATGAGAAGTGGTTGGAGCCTGATGTTTTTTTAAAAGTAGAGCTAACAGATTTTCTGATGGACTGGATGTGAGATAAAAAGAGGAGTCAAGGATGGTGCCAAGTGTTTTGGCTCGAGTGACAGGAAAGTTGGAATCATCAGTGGAGAGAAAGAAGGCTGTGGGTAGAGAAGGTTTAGAGTAGGGACAATAGGAGCTCAGAGTTGGACATGCTGATTTTGAGGTGTCTGTTAAACACACAAGGGATGAGTGACACCAATTGCTGGAAACACAAGCCTGAGCTCAGAGAGAGTTGGAGACAGGTTTCGAGGCATCATGAGCACACGTGGTATTTCAATAAAGACTCATGACTGGATGAGGTTATCGAGGGAGTGAGTACAGACAGAGAAGAGGGTCAAGGACCCTGCCTGGGGACTCTGCAGCATCAAGAGGTCAGAAAGAAAAGAGACTGAGAAGGAGTGATCAGTGAGGGAGTAGGAAAGCCCGGAGCGAGTAGAGTACTGGAAGCCAAGTGGAGAAAGTGTTTCCAGGAAAAGGGAGTGATCAATTGGGTCAAATGTCACTGACAGCTGAAGCAAGATGAGGATTGAAAATTTACTGTTTAGATTTAGCTATTGGAGAACACTAGTAACCTTGACAAGAACTGCATTTGACTCCTAACTTCATGGAGCCCCAGAGTTTGACTACTGACTGTCATTTAGGACTCCATTATTGTGAATTTTTGTCTTCTCCATTAGGCTGTAAGCTGTGTAACATCAGGGGTAATGGATGAAAAGCCAACGAATCTCCAGAGTACAAGGTTCTTAATGGGCTATAGGGCCTATAAAGCCCACTGTGAGATCCTGAGATAGTTTGTTGACAGACCCACCTGAAGAGTCCTCCTGCTGGGTATTGGCCTATAGCAATTATCCTCATGCCTGGCTTACCTTGGACGCAGAATTTCAGTTCTTTGGGGTCAGTGACACCCTTCCTGCTCTCCCAGATCACAGACCGGTTCTTCTTGGTTTCTCCCCAGAGATTGGTGCCTCCATACATGCTTGGAATGTTGAGAATGGCAATGCCTTCCAGGAAGATGTTGCTCAGGTCCACCCCAACCCCATCACACTGGGGGACAGAGAGAGAAGGTCATCTGTTAGTGTCCTCAGTATATTGCAACCCAAGGCATATGTGCGCGTGTGAGGTGAGGACTCTCTTAAAAGATGCAACAGGTCCTCAGCCACCACCCTCCCACTATCAGAAGCTGAATCATGGGCAAAATCGCTCAGGCTTAATGCTTTGACCACTGTGGTGAGATGAGGAGATCCTGTCCTGGTCAGCTTTGGGGAAGACAACACAAGGCTCCAGGAAGCATTTTTAGATCTAGAAGTGCTTTAGGGGTGGTTCCCAAGTCAACTGCAAACTCCAGTCCGGCCTCATTATCATCAATTGTGCCCCTTCCTAAACCTTGTGAAGCTTTAGTGGGACACTGGACAATCTGACACACAGGAGAGTCTCAACAAATGACATTTCCCCCCCTCTTCTTCTATCCCTTCTGTGAGAAATACAAGACTTTAAGATTTGGAAGGCTTTCAAAATTTGCCTGTTTCCGGTATCTGTATCCTAAGTGCAAATTTGGCATATGTGCTTGCTGAAGTAGCAGAGTTTCTTTATCCAATCTCCACCACTTGCAACCCCCACCAGGTACAAAAGGCTAGAAGGATTGAATTGGCATGTCTCACATATCCATAAAGTCAGCCCATTTTGGCATGATGCTTACCAACACAGCAAGATATGGATCAGCTCTGAGCCTCCTTCCTCAGAATTGTAGGTTGTTTACTTCATTTACAAAAGAAAAAACTGGACCCAGAGAGGGGAGCTAAGTTATCCAAAATCACACAGCTAATAACAGGGCAGGGATTCAGATTTGAGGGGGTTGACTACCAAGTCCATGCTCTTTATATCTTTATTATCAGAAAGAAAAGACCAAAAGCATACAGTGAAAATCAACTGTTCTCAAGGTTACCCACAAACCCAAACTTCCAGAAACTTGTAAAGACTGTTGCCAGTCATAGTGACTCACCTGATTTCTTTGTAGTTCTTGATTTATGCTATCTTATTCCCACAATTTGTTTCCCCAACAACAACATGGAAAAGAGGGAGCTTCTTTTGTAACTGGGGACTCATGCTTTCAATGGGAAGACCCGATAACTTGAAAGGTCACTTTATGTTGATCTGGATTAACTCTTTCTCTTGCTTCCTCTCATTGACCCTATTCTCCCTCTGAAGATAGAGAGAATGACCTTCCTTTCTCCTCCTTGGGACTAGCCCCCTCCAGATTCATGATAATAATAATCATCATTGTCGTCATTGTGCCATATGTATTAAGCTTTGCCATCTGCACAGAAGATTTTATACACATCCTATTTATTATCTTTATAATAAGCCTATAAATTAGATACTATGACTACTCCTCCTTTTTACATTTGGGGAAACTAAGGCACAGAGGTGATGAAGTTAATTTGCCCATAGCTATACAACTTACAAGTGGAAGTACACGGATTTAACAGCAGGCAGTCAGAGCCTAAGTTGATTTCTCCTTTACTTCACCTCCTCACACTACCATTTGGTTGTGTGTCTCCTCTGACTTGAGCACTGTCAACTTCTCCTGTGGGACTTGGTTTTCAGACCTTTCCTCACCCTGGCTGCCCTGTTTTGCACACACTCCAGGTCATGACCCTCCTACTTGGCAGTGTCCCCAGCCCTGAAAACACCGCCAATGACGATCTGAGGGGACAGGTGGCAACAACACTTGAAATTTTATGACACTATCCTGTCCCCAAAATGAGATATACAAAGCCCATGTAGGAGCTCAGTACATTACGTACTGTCATTATTCTTACTGTTAAATATGACCACGGTTGCACTAGCCCCTTGGTTAGCGGCTAGATGACAGCATCACTTCAGCTTGAATGTGCGCTCATCTTCATCCCATGATCTGTTTCTCAGCCAGCTCTTCCCTATCCTGAACTTATGTAGGGAGAGAGGGAAGGGTTAAAAAACCACCCACTCGGTACCATGCCCACCACCTGGGTGACGGGGTCGACAGAAGCTCAAACCTCACCGTCATACAATGTGCCTATGTAGCAAATCTGCATATGTACCCCCTGAATCTAAAATAAGGTAATTGAAAAAAACAAAAACATACACATAAAACTTTACATTTATGTTCATTAATTTTATCTGGCTTTCAGCCCAAACCTTCTCTAGTCCATCCAGCTTTCAAATCTTCATTCTGCCGTCCTCTGTCATAGCTCTCCCATTGTTTGGGGATTAAATCATCAATATGTGTGCATAAAGAGTGAAAATAGTGACTAAACCCTCTCCTTGTGCAGTTTAACACACACATCTGGCATCATGCATGAACACCTACACTGTCACCCTGATCACTTTTCATTCCAAGGTGGGCTCATGAAAAATAGCAATGACAGGGACCTAAGAGAACCATTGCCCCGTATTTCATAAAAGAGGCCCAATGAGGTTGGGAAACGTCCTTGTGGTCAGCCAACTTATTAATGGTGGAGGTAGGTATGTATCTAGATCTCCAGACCTCAATCCTAAGTTCTTTCCACTAAAACATTAAACACTGTGCTGAGATCAAATAGCATTTCCTAAGTGACCACCCTACCACCTCTATCAAAAAAAGAAAAAGTGAACTCATGTTAAGTCACCAATATCCATATGTAAAGGACAAATATTTTATTAATAATGTACTCTAGAATCTTGCAAGGGATCAGAGTCAAGTGCATCAGCTCCCAGAAGATACTCTATTCTCCTTTTTTGAAAACTGGGGCTACATTTGTCTGTTTGCTCCCCATTGGATTGAACCTAATGTTTTCTGACTTGTCAAAGTTGTCCCTGAATCACATCTATAGGCTTATCCAGTAACTTGGATTCAAATGTAAGCATGTTATTCAAGGCCAGCTAGTTCTCTACTGGTCTACCTCAGGCTCTAGTGGCCACCTTTGGCATCTATTCTTCCATTTTTAGTCCAGGGTCACTCTCTCTGGAAAAGATAAAAACTCTTCCAGAGTGGCAAATTCCTATGGACCTATGCTTTGCTTTTTTGTTGTTTTGTTTTGCTTCAAACATTGTCTAACATTCTGCTTAGCCTTCAGTTTGCCTGAAGCCAGGCTCAAGGTCTGAGTGGTTTTGTGTATTCATACCTGGTTGCATGCCCATAACTTGCTTAGTGTGTGTATGTACAGTCACTTAATGCATGGGCTCAACTAGCACTTCCTGTTGCTGTCATGGTGACTGAAAAGCAAAAAACACACATACTCCTTTCCTTCTTCTTCTCAATGTGATGAAGACTTAGAAATTTATTTTGGAACATCTTCTGCCCTTCATCCTTCATACACATATTCCTAATTGGGGACTTTAAAGTTAGAGTTCCATTGGGTCACATTTTTCCTTATCATTATCACTTTCTAGATGAAACAGTCACTTCCACATCACCTCAATTTACTCACTGTTGGTCAAAACATCTCCCGTCCGTCTGAGAGATAATAAATAATAACAATAATAGTAACTCACACTTGGCAAGAGCTTCCTAGGGCATGGTGCTGGGGTTCATCCACGTTATCTCTTGGGATCCTCACATGAATATCGAGAGGGAGGCACCACTGTTACCCTCAGCTGATGGGCCTCCCAGGGGTTATATGCTTGCTGGAGGCTGTGTGACTTCCCACTCTACAAGATGGGCAGAAGTAGGATGCAGACCCAGGCCGTCAGATGCCAGATCCTACACTGGAGATGAGTCAGTGAGGCAAATCGGGATTTTTGCTGATGCTAGACATAGCAAAATTAAGCTTCCAGCTGTTTGAATAATTGAAATCTCCCACCACAGCTCTGTCTTGTAGAGTGCTTACAGCAGTGCCTGGTACATCAATGTTGGATATGAGTATTATTCTATCTTGCCTCTGTGCCAGATTTGTTGGGGGAAAACACACACACACACACACACACACACACACACACACACACACAGAGTCAGCACAGTTCTTCACAAATAATATTCCACAGTCACCTTTCTTCCCTACTGCAGTTGTAAGTGTACTCTGTCCCCTACCACCTCGTCTCTATCCATAGCCAACTAAGAGTGTTAGCGAGTAACCTAGCAAACGTTAACCTCTCCCTGGAAGAGCAGACAGTTCTTACTCTGCTTTCTGATAGATTGTTCCCTTCTCCTATTGTCTCATTGGGTCCTATGTAGATGAGACAAACAGAAGAGGTGGGGGGAGTCTGGGGTCTTTTTTTTTTCTTTTTTTTGAGTTGGAGTCTCATTCTGTCGTGGCACAGGCCAGAGTGGAGGGCAGTGGGACGCTCACCGCCACCGCAGACTCGACCTGTTGGCCTCAGGCGATCCTTCCTTCTCAGCCTTCCAAGTAGCCGGAACTACAGGCGTGCGCTATTACGCCAGGCTAATTTTTTGATTTACTGTAGAGACAAGGTCTCACCATGTTGCCCAGGCTGGCCCTGGGTCTTTTTGAGGTTGATGTGCCTACCCTTGGGATGTGCCTACATGGAAAATGAGGGGCAATGTAGTGTCTTGGAAAAAGCATGCCTGGGCTTGGCGGCAGAGACATGGGTTTAATTAAATCTTCGCTTTGTCACTTGCCAGCTGTGTGATCCTGTGTTGTTTCCTTAACGTCTCTGAGTTTTAAATTGTCATCTGTAAAATGGAGGATGGGAGAACAACATCTACCTCAAGGAGTTGATTGGTCTCGGGGGCAGTGGCACTGCGTAACTGCATTACCATTACAGGTTCCCCAAACCCCAGCATCATGAGGCATTATTTCCTCCTGAAATCACTCCCTACTACCTGAGGCTTTGCCGGACGCATTTTCATGGCCTCTTGACCCGACCCAGACTGGTGCGTGCCTCGCCATCCCGCGCCTGCATGCCCATTCTCCGGAGTTCTCGGTCTTGCGACCCTGCAGTGATTTCCTTCACAACCCCAGGCCCGTAGGTCTCGGGAGAGGTGGAAGGAAAGCCGCCGTGCTGAGTCTGGGAAAGTGGAGCCGAGCCTCGTGCACCGCCGGCCTAAATGGAACACCAGCCCCAAG